CTTTTGTGACGTTACGCTTCGGGAAGAAGGACCCTCGGTGGTACTCTGAAAATGATTTTCTGCAGCCCGCATGCACCAAATTAAAAATAATTTCGATATTACAGATCCTGGAGGTCAAATAAAGGCGAATTAAGTGTGCTTCTTAAAAAAAAACACACACACTTTATCTTTGCCGCTCGCCGCTGCATGGGTGCATCACAGGCGCACCGCGCGGCATTATCTGTACCCAACCAGATCCTAGCAACGCGGCGCCGCGCGGAAGTGGCGTAGGGACGCCAGCACTGGTTGCTATGGATACTGCCGCGCGGCGCCCGTTTTCATCGCTCATGTGTCCTCTGCTTTAGCCAACCCAATCGCGTGCTTCATCTCCTAAATCCAAAGCCGCATTGAGAAAATGTTGGTGCATTCGATACGGTCAGGGAATACTGCTGCTTGTGCTGTTTCATTATCGGCCTGTCGCTTAAGCTGCACGCACGAGATCACAACTTTAGCTTTAGACACATCTTTTAAACTACCTTTCGTTGTTATCAGTTAGGAGGCAAACACGATTCAGTTAGATTATTGTAGTAAAAAAACAAATATATAGTAGTTCATTCGCTCCCTTTGTATGTTAATATCGATGCAGGTGCATCCCGATTCCCGTCTAAGATCCCGGTACCTGTTCGGGCGCGGGCTTTCGGATTGGCCCGGGCCCATGCAGGGCTCTCCGCAGCACTGTGTGTGTGAATATTTATAGGCGTAAATTTGTACAGGCCCTTGCCTCGCCTTCGTCCTATCAGGCTTTGATAAGAAGCTTTTAGGTCTTGGAGAGGATGATAAAGAGAATTGGTGGCTCTCAAAGCTGAAAGGGAGTCGGTTCTCGCAACCTGGCCAATCGAGGGACAAGATAGCGGCGTTTGAGTCGTAAACACACGAGCCCAGAGTTTTTCCACACACGAACTGGTTGAAGGTAAGCAGAACCTTTTTGAAAATACTTGCATTACACCCGATTGAAATAAAAGCACGGTGTATAGGAATTTCGGACGCAAGAAATCACAAAAACGACGCAACAGGGAAGCGCAGCTAGCATTTGTGCTTGGTGGTGCTGCTCTATTGCACCTAAACGATAGGCTTGTAGGTCAAGTGGCGAATTCTAGTTAACTAAACTCATAATAACATTCACTTATGTGCATTTTTTCTTCTATATGACATTTAAAAGCGATATAGCTAGTGTTCCACTGGAGCAGTATTCGTTTTATGCGCCTAGTTTTGTTTTAAAAAATATGTTTATCTATAATGCAGTTGTGAAGTTAAGTTGCGGAAAACATGAGTAGGTGAAATCGAAGCCTTCTCATTTATTAAAGGGCTACTCCACATGGTTTGTCATTGTCTCCGATTTGTTTGAAATTTTGGTAAAATCACCAACAAACATCGCTAAAATAGTATCGCAAATATCAGGTCAAAATACTGTTTTTTCGCAAAGTTATTGAGTTTACAGTTTTGGGTTCACTGCGTTTTTCAAACTGAAAGTCTCTTCTGACAACGACGAAAAAGTGACGTCAGCGGAGGCACGGGTTCACTCTGTGGACTGTACAATTTGTTCCCAACTGATTCCAAGCAGTTTCGTGGTGTCAAATGAATGATTTGGAAGCTCGCTCCTGTACCAGCGCTCCAGCACGGAACAAATGATTGGTACATTCTATTGTTTGACTGCTTGCTCGGCTGGCAAGCCTGCCTGCCCCTTACGTTACGGCACTGACAAGTGCGGGTATATTTGAATGTTTGTTTTTGCATCATTTCATTTGCCATATTAAAAAATAACTATTATGAATTCACGATATTATATAGCGTACCGGAAAGGGTAAGGGCCGGGGTGCCAGAAAAATGTAGTTAGTTGAGGTCGCTAAAAAACCTGTGGAGTACCCTTTAAGGTAGAAGCGTAGAAATCTGGGCGAGTTGGTGATGCATTGGAATGTGAATACAGCGCAAACAAGCGACAGACCAACAGAAGAGTATGCACACAACAAGGCGCTGACTTAAAACTGAGATTTAATAGGAAAAAAACATTAAGTCCGCGAAAAAACCACAACAATCCACCACACCCACGTCGTCACACACCACGTTCCCATTCGCCGAGATATTCTATCTCTTTTTGATAGAGGGCCACAGAGGGGGCACTGACACACGTGCCCTCCCTACATCGTGATATGTAAAATGCCTCCGTTATCTACCCCGTCCTTTTGTTGTGGCGTCGCATCATTATTGTTGTATGTTCAAACTTAGGGGCGCAGCCACACGTGTCGCAATCAATCGCCCAATGACCGGCAGGGGACGATCTCACAGATAATGCATGCTCTCTTAGTCTATCGTTGACTCATCTATCAGACTGTCCAATATACTGCTTACCACACGATAGCGGTATTTTATACACAATTCCCACTTCGCACTTTACGAACTGCTTTTTATGCTTCTTTTCGCATCGCGTTTCGTGTACTAGCTGCTCCCCTATCGATTCTACCACAAAGCTACTCCAGTTTCTTGGGAGCGGAGAAAAGAACCGAGACATGATGTCTCTCCGCCACCTTCTTAATCCTGTGGCTGACCTTGTGTATGTAGGGCACAACTACCGATCTCACTGTCGGCTTGCACTTCTCTGGCACCACGGCCGTCCCCCGAAGCCTTTGCAGTAGTGATTCACCCACTCCTGTAAATAGTGCTGATGGGTAGCCCCCCCCCCCCCCCCCCCACCCTCTTCAGCCTGTTCACCTGGGATGTAAAACCCTCCACCATCGTGTATGGAGGGTTTTACATCGCTTCAGCAATCACATGTAGGCTGGTGTTATGCTCCCAGACCAAAGAAATTGCTGCTCCCTCACAGGTCCAGCCATTCTAAGGTGGTTAAAAGAGGTATAGTTTTTACCTGTCCCCGCGGATCCTTGGCGAAGTCTTGTCCACACAGGATGGTGGAGGGTTTTAAGTCCCAGGGAAACAGGCTGAAGAAGGGGGGAGGGGCTATGATGAGTCCTCCTTACAAAAGTGGGTGAATCACTGCTGCAAAAGCTTCGGGGGACTGCCATAGCGTTGCAGCTAGCACACGCAACGCGATGCGAAAAGAAGCATAAAAAGCAGTTCGTAGAGTGCGAAGTGGGGATTGTGTATAGAATACAGCTATCGTGTGGTAAGCAGTATATTGGACAGCCTGGTAGATGCGTCAACGATAGACTAAGGGAGCATGCATTATCTGTGAGATCGTCCCCTGTCGGTCATTTCGCGATTCATTGCGACAGATGTGGGTGCGCCCCTATGTTTGAAGAGACAGCAATGATGATTCGACAGAACAACAAAAGGACGAGGGTAATAACGGAGGCATTTTACATATCACGATGTGGGGAGGACACGTGTGCCAGTGCCCCTCTGTGGCCCTCGACCAAAAAGAGAGAGAATATCTCGGCCAATAAGAACCTGGTGCGTTATGACGTGGGTGTCGTGGATTGTTCTGGTTTTTTCGGTAGCCTTCATGTTTTTTCCCATTAAATTTCAGTTGTAAGTCAGTGCCTTGTCTTTGTGTATACTCTTCTACTGCTCCGTCGTTTGTTTGCGTTGTATTCCCGTTCCAATACCATTTTAAGGAACGGTCATCTACTGAGAAAAACCGGCAATTAAAAAACAAGATTGAAAACCTTTTATATAGGTAACGTAGCTCCAGTGGCACAAACGCAATCCTCGAGCTTTACTTCGTTTTACTCTTATCAGACAGCAGCCGACACTAAGAGTCGACGGGAACAACCAAGCACTGTCGCAAGCGCACCTTCCCATCTTTCGCCGTCTCTTTCCGCGTAAGCTATCGCCGGCCAGAAAGAGCCAAACCAAACAAGACAACGTTTCAGTCTGTACATTGATGTTTTTGTGTCCGCCAACCTTTGACTACGCTCGTACTTGAGGGGAAACGAAGTAAAACTTTGATTACTATTGTAGACAAAAGTTATAACCACAATTGCGCGTGTTTAGAATTTTGTTTATAGGTATTGCTGAACTTCCAGCTATCATACTTATAAATGTTCACTAGATGATTTTTTCCCAGCGTCTAAATATACAAACAAATTAATGTTGCTTCGAATGAGAAGTTAATCTTGCATAAAACTGGATGATGATCACACCACTCTACTGCGCTTGTATCTCGCACTGGGAACATGAGCCAATATACCAAGAAGGCTAGAACATACTATCTTTCCCATAGGATTTACCAGCTTCTCACTTTGTGGCATTTTTTTTTCATAGAAGTTACCTAGTGTTGTCATTTGGTCGCATCTCATTCCCACAGGCGTGTGGCAAGGCGGATACGCGATGCTCTAATCAATAATAACAAAAAACGAATTTTCAGTATCTTTTTTCTAATGTATAAATACATTTGGAGGGTATTTTTGATAATTTATCATGCCCCAATTAAGGTATAAACAAGGTAAGTAATATAAGTAAGCACTACTGAAGGATGTAGGACAGGGTGGTGGCTTGCTTGGTTAATTTATAGTCGTCTTGCAAACAATCATATTTTCAGTAAATAACAGCGAATGACATATGGCCACCCTGTCTTGTTTGTAATTGGGATTTACCCATTTTGATTACAAATGTATCAATTTTATGCTATTTTTTATGTTTTCTAAAAATGGCACCAGGAGTCTGCCCCGCCCCCTCTCCCCTCCCCCCAAACCATTATTCGTGAATTATGTACAAACGTGTCCACATCTCACAGAATTATGCCATGAAATTGATAGATGTTGCTTCTCCCTTGGTTTAGGGATACAAGAAATAGGCTGAACTTCTTTTACAGTCTAGCCAAGTAACCAGTCCAGTTTTATATGTGTAACACTTCTGATATTTTATTAACGTGTTCCACTCATCCCTTCAACGAGCGTGCATTATGAACTGTGATGGTGACTGATTGGACGGGATACTCTGAAGGATGGTGTCTCATAGGCGAAAAACCTGCATTATTTTGCTTTTCAGAAACGCCGCTTAAAAAGACACACATGTTCCTGCGGAGTTTACGACGATCATGGCGGCTATTGTACGTCATCTTAGTGCCACTGTTACTGTTGCCCATTCCATTCAGCCTGGGAGGAAAGGTAAACGTCATGGTTTATTCTTTCGCTGCGTATTTACTTTATTCCAAATGTTTTTGATTTTTTCATATATGTATGGGAATAGCTTTGTAAGGATACAATAGTGCAAACATCTTGCGTAAGCAGCACCTTGTTTAACTACATTTGAGCGACTTTACTGTAATGATAATATAAATCAAATATCTTATTTGCCAATCATGAGTCTGAAAATAATTCCTCAATGATGCGCTAACTAGGTAGAAACGGGCTGCTCCCTTGTCAGATAGACTTTGGGAATAAACACATGACTGTTCCGGGATCTTGTTGATAACGCGGTGGGACCTGTAAACTACGTCTATAATTCATTTTATGAAGCGATAAATCAGCATCATAATTGCGGAAGATCAGGGGTGAACTCATCGAACGACCACTTGACTTCCCTCACGACTAAGCTGTCATCTAGGTGGTGACCATGAGATTGTCGCATGGTGAAGCCTATTATCAGAGGCCTAATTATCCCATGGTGCATTTAAGAAGGCCCATATAGAGCTTGTTGAGTTCACTAACGATGAGCTCTTTCCCGTAAAGGCCGGGTGGTGTGCCTACATTCTTCTCTGGATGGCGTTTTATTGGACGGCTGAGGCTATCCCACTTCCTGTGACGTCATTCATGCCAGTAATCCTGTTCCCACTCTTTGGAATTCTTTCGTCCGCGAAGGTGTCTACATTTTACCTGAATGTAAGTATCATCCGCCTTGAAACTGGCAAAGGCACATTCCGTTTGCTCTTGTTAAAAACGCTACCAGTACGTAGCTACAATGTTCACGTTCATTAAAATATTTCTTAGTTCCTGAAAATGTAAATTATCATTGAGTGTTGCTCACAGCTGTAATCTCAATTGTTAATAGCCTGGATGTGGGCATTATTTGTCTTAGAGCATGTCCAGATAAAGATCTGAGTCCTCCGCCAATCCACACACAAAAAAAAACTCCAGTTAGATTTGTTTAGGTGTGTCTTGTGCTATAAAAACACACATTGAAGAAAACGCCACATTATATTCCTACGTTTAGTTTGTTGGACTGTGAACGATTGTGCAGAAAGGAAGGAAAAGAGGAAGCTGTAACCAAATAGAGAAGAGCGCATTAGACGTATATAGCTTATTTTTCATCGTGGTGTATTATTTGGTCGAGGTATGAGACGCCTGCGACAGGCCCCTTGCATCAAAACGGAATTTCCGTCAGGCCAGCGACTGCAGCCATCCTCGCAGAGCGCTGGAGCAATGCCGGCCCTGACCATCACCATCCGTAAGAGGGACCTAGCCCTGTTCTTTGTCCCCGCTTACCAAGATGCCATGGACTGCCTCTGTGACTACGCCAGAGTGAGCGCCACAACCGATGGGATGATGCCATGAAGCTTGGAAACGTAAATGTTTACCTCAAAGACACGGCAATGAGTATAACAACAACCAAGATGCCTTCGCCTCTTGGGTCAGTTTTAAGGAAACATTCTTTGGACTGTTCGGAATTTTGACCCAGAGGGAAAAACTAGCCAAGGTACGCCTCGCACACCGACCACCAGGACCCAAAGAAAAGCACATTACATTGAGAATGTGCTGACGCTCTGCAAATTGGTCAACGCCACCACGACAGAGTTTGACAAGGTCGGACATATATTAAAAGGCATCCCAGAAGACTGGTTTCAGTACCTAATAGCCTGGAACGCCACGGCTGTCAACGGTACCACAGAGGCATGCTGCCGCCTCAACAAAATCAAACGCGCCTGCATTCCAACGGCAGCAGTGATTCCAACATCAGCTTTCCTGATGGCACCTTCATTGCGAGACCCCATCACCGACAACGTCGGAATCCTCATCAATGACGTCAATCTCAATGAGCTATGCCTCATGTTTCCAAAGAGTTCTCCTTCGCTTAACGGTCCCATCGACACCACTCGCCAATCTTTGAGTAACGTAATACGGGAGGAGATTTCAGCAGCCACTCCACAATTTTTTTCTATTGCCACGACCTCTCTTTAACGGGCTCATTTGATTTTGCGACCACCATCACCCCCACGCAACTTTTATCAAGCTTCCTTGTCTAGCCCACCGTATCAAAGATCTCCGAGATCAAACCCCGTTGCCAATCAGTGGTCTCCAGTCATTCGACGCCGCCCCACTTGCTTCAACCAAATATCATATAACTTCACCAATACTCTTAACTCCTCCGAAAACCCATGGGAGCGGCGGCAAACGTGACAGTGGTTACTCTAGCGGACTCGGAGTTTACGGAAGCAGACGATGCGATGGAAAAGTATAGGCTCCGTGACGTCCTCGAGCTTTGCGAGCCCAGTTTCGTCACCCCAACAGCTGAAACAATTGATTGCGGTCAGTCCGCTTCCTAAAGCGGAATCCGCTAATCGCAACTGCAACGACAATCAAATAACAGCGCACGTATAAACAAAGATAGAGCAGTTTATTTAGCGGTCTCAAACGCCACTCAGGGGATTACACGCGTTTGAAGCGCGTCTTGGAAGGGGAAAAAGGCGTTTAGCTACTCGAACTATGTCGTAAGAGGTTACTGTTGATCCATTACAAACTGAGTTGTCACAATTTCTTACTTGAATACGTGATTATTGAAACGTGTGCAAAGAACATGTTAAGACCACCAGAGCAAGCGCACCAGCCTCTGCAGCATAACAAAAACAAAAAGTAGCGAGAAAAAAGACCACAGAAACACATTACAAACTTTGCAGAAAACATGAGGTCCCCATCCCAGACGAAAATAATAAGAAATGGGGGACAGTCGTGGATAGCGGCAAATTAAACAAAGACGTTAGCAGACAATGCAAAAATACAAGTTACACAGCAAAGGCCTCCTTCAACGACGACAATCGCCGGGGGAAGTTGGTAGGAGCATTTAAAATGAGCCGGTGGTGTTCGCCGTCGGTGTTCAGTCCACAACAAACAAAACAGAAGCAACACAACAAAACTATTAAAAAATAGCATTCTTTTAGTTGCACGTGAGACGTTTGTTTATTTGCTTTCGCGGCGTTGGTAGGTACTAAAGTCAAAATAGAGGAAAAAAATACCGTAGTTCAGCTCACACTGCCCGGTAAGTCGCACGCTGCAATCTGCGACCTTTTATGCTTTCGCATTTCATTTCCCAGTGACTTCGGCAGATTGTTTGTTTGCTCGCTTGACGAAGCAGTTCAGAAGTATATTAAGTACTTGTTGACATATGTGTCGAGGCAATCCTTGCACAGCGTTCCTTTGTTTCGAGTGTCGATCAGCGGCCTTAAGTACGCCTTCAGCTGAACTCTTGTTTGGTGCAGTATATCAGTGAATTCTGTGTCGAAGGCACGGCTGATGCTACCGGCTAGATGACGAACGAAGTCGCAAGGTGGTGTCATTTTCGCATGCGAGTATTTCTCGTTCTTCAACAGAATGCATTTCGACGTGTTCCATGTTTCTGATTGCAGTTGGACATAGCAAGCATGATCCCAGATTTGACTGGCTGACCACCCGGCTACATAAAACTGAGTGTTCATTTGTGCATCTAGTGCATCGTCCGTGAAGTTTTCCGCCATCTCCGCGGAGTTGTCATAACCGTCTGTTAAGGAGTCAGTGTCGATTTTGAAGCCAGACTTGAATAGTTCGAGCAGATTAATTTTAAGTATCTTAATTACTCACGTTTGCTCGCTCTTCGGGAAGCAGAATAAGGATTTTCCAGCACATCGCAAGAACTTGTTTTTGCAGTGGTGGCCAGCACATGGCATTCCTGCCGTCTCCAAGCATGCGCTGGTGTATGCCCGAAGCCGACCGTATGATCAACAAACGATGACCCATAGCGGACATGACCACGTACCCAAATGAAATCCGAGTAGAAATGTATAACGAACTTACACTTTTTAATACATTTATTAAGTATGCGGGCATCTTCCAGCTCCGATTCCCTCAGACCCTGTCTCCGGATGAATATGACACTGCAATACTTCGCTCTCGGCAAAAGGGTTTATTCACTCACTCATTGCCTTGGGGGGTTTCGGGATCGGGGGACGGTCATCAGCGAGGCCGGGGGAGAGTCCGCTGCCCGAGCAGCTTCTCCGAGTCCCAGCGGTGGTCGTCCACACCGCGTCATGGGGACGTCGTCGTCCAGGGTCGCTGTCCGGTCCGCTTGTCGAGTCCGCCACTCGACGTAGTGCCCGCACTTCCTGCGCCAGCGTCCGGCGCCGTCCGAGCTCGCCTCCATGACCGGTCCCTTGTCAAGTCGGCAGCCCAAGCCCAAGCCCTCTTCCTTTGTCTCCGTTGCCCTTCTTAAGACCTTCCCAAGTCCTTCTCCCGCCGACCGTCCAATCGGGAACCTGCCGCGAGCCGATCCTCCGACGTCAGCGCTGGGTGAGGGGGCGCTTGCCCCGTACCTCCCGGAGAGCTCGGACATTCCGCGACAGGCCGGCGACTGGAAACGGGAAGGTCACAGGGAACGAAGGAGCGCCCGACAATACGGCGGCGGGGACCGGCAAGGTCACGGAGAGCGGAGGAGCCAGGGAGAGGGGGTCCCCACACCTCCCCTCCCTCAAGGCTCGGACCCCGGGGGGCCTGAGGTTGCGTGGTCCCCAGGACCCTTGGCAGGGAGCTCGTTCAGCTGAGTGTCGCCGATGACGACGAGCACCCTCGATGATGATGATGGCATCAAACCAAGCAGGTCAGCGGTGAACGTTGATTCACTGGGAAGCTCGTGACCGACGGAGCACGGTCCACGAACTGGTCCGGAGCACCACAGCTCACAACACGGACGGGCACTCAGGCACACACAACACGCCGGCACTTAAAGTTCACTTCCGTCCCTAATGTAACAGACAGCGAAACGCGCAAAAACGAATAGCGGCACGCTATATCAGACAGCGCGACGAAACCAAAATCTTTCGATCGTTGGACATGCCAAGAAATAAAAACGAAACTCTTCATCTCAATACTAGCACGCAGGCAATCATCAAGAACGTCACGCTACACGTTCAAGAGGTACATAAGAGGAAATCTATTCCTGAACTAAAAAGCGTTAGCACTCATTGTATACTCAAATCGTACATACGCCCACTATACAACATTTGCTCCTATCAAACTCAACCGCATTCTTTTAAAACAGTAAGCTATCTACCAGAGCGTCAGAACCGCACACCTCTGACAACAATATTAATCTCCAACACGCTCGCGAAGAACACAAAACCTCAAAAACTAAGAATAACCTTCCGTAAAACAGAAACGGTCACAAATCCAGTCCCGTTCGCGAGGTTCGACTCGGAAGGAACACGCTGCCAACAACCCATGACGGGCACTCATGCACTCGGCGTTCACGCTACCCGAGCTACAAACACGCTACAGTCAAGCTACGCAGCACGCCTTCATCAGAAGGGGTAATCACCTTACTGAGAGGCCGTTGTTCCGTGGTACCGGTTACTTACACCAGTACAAAGGGAACAGTACCTGGATCGTGCGAACAGCAGATCTCATTGGACAGCCTATTTACACGACTATGTCCGTAACGTCTGGGCATGTACCAGACGTTACCGCTTCACCGCTCGGAGGTGACCACCCAACAGGAGCGACGAGCGCGTAACGGCGGTCCGCACCGAACCCCGCACGGGCTCGATAACCGCGACAAGCGCATCGACGCACGTTAGAGTTCTCCCTCGGCCAAACCCCGACACCGCATAACTAAAAAGTCTTCCAGCTGATGTCAACGC